AGATGTCACTTAGACTGGAGATGCACAACCGAGGGAGCGGACAGACCACTACAATCACTCCAGTTTGTGCCCCTCCCTTCGTGTGTGTCCTGTCTGTCCCATCTGCTTGAATCCCTCCGCTCCTCCCTGAATGCCCCGACCTTCTTGCTGCAGTCTCCCTTACCATCCCCATCTTCTGTAGCTGCCTCGATTTGACCTGCGAGTCGCCATAGATGCTGCTGAACTTGTGTGTGAGGGGCAAGACGAGGGCTGACTGATGAGAACACAAGACTTGTGGCCAAGTAGCAGGCGTGTCTTTATGAAACAGCAGGAACTGGATCACACACCAGTTCCTGGGCAAGATGCTCAGATTTCTGCCTTTCAGTCCCATTCAGGTATCTCTGTCTGTCCTCCAGATGTGTTTGCTCAGGCCTGATTTACCTGGAAATTACTTCTACAGCCTAGCTTGAAGGGAGGTTGAGAATACCCTTTTTCTGTTGTTCCAGACTTCAGGTCTCAGGGTTGGACTGTGACGTGTGGAATATTTCTACGTATGTCTTAAACCCAGTGATTTTAATGTAGAATCATAGAATGCTTTGGGTCAGAAGGGACCTTTATAGGTCATCTAGCCCAAACAGCGAGCAGGGACATGACTTCAACTGGATCAGGTTGCTCAGAGCCCCATCCAACTTGAACTTGAATGTTTCCAGGGCAATCTGTTCTGGTGTTTCACCACCCTTCTGGTCAAAAATTTCTTCCTCATATCTAGTCTAAATCTACCCTCCCTTAGTTTAAAGCCATGTCTCCTTGTCCTATCACAAGCAGCCCTGCTGAAAAGATCTTCCCCATAGGCCCCCTTTAAGTACTGAAAGGCCACAATAGGGTCTCCCCACAGCCTTCTCTTCTCCAGGCTGAACAGCCCTGATTCTCTCAGCCTTTCCTCATAGGAGAGCTGCTCCAGCCCTCGGATCATTTGTCACCCTCCTCTGGACCCACTCCAACAGGTCCATGTCTTTCCTGTGCTGAGGGCTCCAGAGCTGGACGCAGGACTCCAGGTGAGGTCTCACCAGAGCAGAGCAGAGCAGAGCAGAGCAGAGCAGAGGGGCAGACTCACCTCCCTCAACCTGCTGGCCACGCTTCTTTTGATGCAGCCCAGGATACGGTTGGCCTTCTGGGCTGCGAGCGCACATCGGTGGCTCATGTCCAGCTTTTCATGAACCAGCACCCCCAAGTCCTTCTCAGCAGGGCTGTATTGATAGCAGGGGTTGCCCCCCCCAGATGCAGGACCTTGCACTTGGCCTTGTTGAACCTTGGACTTTGATTTCCCCAGCCCTCCCCAGCTGTCATCAGTCTGAGAAAATGGAGAGGAGTTCCAAGTGGTTAGCAAGCCATTAGAAGAAACAGTCTGCAAGGCTTCATGGAGTTAGATTCTTTTGTGTGGCTTGCTATTACAAAGAGCTGATTTCAAACTGTTACTTGTCATCATCAGTGCAGTTTACATAGTCCTGTTACAGCTTTAGACCTTAAACTGTGTAAATTACAAAGCAGAGAACTTGCTTTTAATCTTTGGCTTTCTTCTAAATTCCTGTCTTTCCTCTTAATCCACAGATCCTCAGTTCGTTACAGGGGTGGGGGGTAGCTTTTGAGAAGGTGGGTGAGCTGCTGGGAAGGTATCGCAAAATCTGACATTGAAATCTGGAGAAGCACGAGCCTCACTCCCTGTGCAGGTCACCAGTGCACTATGACACTGAATTTGAACAAAGACCTTCCCTTCTCTTCAGTTACGATAGAAGGGGAAGCACGTTACCGTCCTCAGCAACTGACTCTGAAGGTACCCGAGGTGAAAGTCCCCTCCTGGCCTGTCGTGTGCTTCACACTGCGGTACATCCGACGTGCCCAAGAGGTTTGTGGCCCCACGTGTCTTGCTTCAGGTGCCCTTGTGCGGCCTGCTTTCAGGAGTCAGGAGAAAGGTGAAAAGTAAACTGTTCATCGTTGCCCATCAAAACAAAACTCATTCACAGCATGTCAGATTTTTATACTTTTATTTTTGTATAAACAAAAGTTGAGACTACTTTTGTTAAGGCAGTTGTAGAACATAGAGTTGCTTGTGGGGATGAGGGGCAAACACTGCTTCCTAATGACATATGTCATTCTTCTAATACTGTGAACTGGACTAGTTTAACTTTGGCAAGTACCATTAAGCTTTCTGTTTGCCAGTGAATGCTGGTAGGGCCCAGTGGCGCAGCCCTTGTGTGCTGGGACTTCTAGAAGTGCTTATGAGGACGGATCCAGGAGTGGTGTGTTTGGCCCTCAGCCTGTTCTAAGGGCTGGTGCCAGGGAAACGGACGTGAAAAATACGCTTTCAGAAGTATTCACATTTGGTATTTTCCTCTAGGAGAAGGGGCACTAGATGCAGTTGGAGAGGAAAGGACTGAGATCGTAAGGAAGGTTACATGTCACCGTGCCCACGCGTTAAATCAGTGGCTCTTTAAAAAGATAAAAAAGCTAGTCTCTATCACCACATGAGTATGCATTTGCTGCTCAGAACTACTCACCCCAGCATGTAGGGCTCATTCTACCGCCCTGAGGAAAGCCCACTGTACCTGCCAGGCAAGGTTTACCACGCTAGCTTGGAGAGATCTCCTCTCTCCTCCGCCTCCACCCCTTTTCAAAGTCCTCTGTACAGTGTCTTCAGGCCTGGCTCATTAACGTGCCTCATGCATTACTACGGGACAGCTGGACCTTCAGACACTACTACAGGTTATAATACTCGGTTTTCCACTGTTAAAACCGTTTCAGCAAATAGAGGTGCAGGGCACGTGCTTTATATGAAGAGAATAGCTTTATAAGCATGGCAGTATGATCTCAGGCTCCGTGTCATGTGTCGAAAAACTATGCTAAAGCCCATGTTTATGTTCGTGACATCATACAGCCTATTCCAGAAAGCTTCGGAGCACACGGAATGCACGTGTACCCAAGACAGGTAGGGAAAAAAGCCCCCAGAACCAGTCCGTCATACTTCCTGAGGCATTATTCCTTCCTTCACGTTGTACATCTTACTGCCTCCCCTCTCAAAAAATTTACTTCCTGCCCCATGCTAAAAGCACTGCTCCACCTGCTCTTCAGGTGCTGCATATTGAGAAGACTGAACAGCAAATGTGCGTTTCATGGAATGATTCATAGTCTGTTGTATTTTCCCCTGTTTCTTCTGGACTTAAAGAAGAAGAGAAATGTTTTTTATACCAGCTGCTATAGCAAAGGCTGCTCACTTTCTTCTCTAGAGCCACACAAGCTGTTCATTCTTAGACCATCATGGTTTTGTCGCACAGGCAATGAAAATGTACCATCACTGAAAGTGCCAGTCATAATCCCCACTGCTCAGCATCAGTATCGCTAGATTTTAAAGATGGGGTTTTTTTCAAAAGTGATATCTGGTAGTTGGAAGTCCCCCTCTTTTCCTTTTTTCTTTTTTTTTTGAACAAGCTCTTTTCACTAACTTGCATATCCTTAACTCTTGACATTTAGAAACAAGGATGCTGCCCTGGAATCAATGCCAGAGCAACACAGTTTTCCCAAGGGGTTAGATTCTGGTTTTATTAAATTCAGAAGGGTGTCAAAGCAAGTCCAGACAGCCATAAAAAACTCTAAGCCATGCCACTGTCCTAGGTCTTCCTCCTACTTCCCCTCTTCTCCTCAAAAGAAAAGCAGAAGATAATTTAAGTGTTACCTCAGGCTGACTTTTATGAGGCACCATGTAAACTAATTTATCAGACAAGACAGACAAGCAGATTAATTGGCATCACAACAGTAGGGGCGCGGGGCATAACTTTTGACGCTCGTTTTGCATTACTTTGTTACAGCATACCCAGTTGTTTTGTTTCCACCATTGTTAGGAAGGCCTAAAATTTTAATCACTGTTTAAAGCCAAAAGCAATTTTATTATCTCAGTTTTTCCAAACTATAAACGGCATTTACTCTAAAAAGAATTCCAGGTTTCAGCCATCCCTCTGATGTATTGCCTGGGGAGAGATGTGGCAGTGGGTGATTTAGCTCTGCTCAGGCCACAAGGCCCAGTTCCACTCCAGGTTATGCCACTGCACAGCTCCGACCTAAAGAAGCGGGCCCTGAGCCAGGGTCTGGCTGAAGTTTCAAAGGGCCCACGTGGTGCATGCTGCAGCAGGAAGTTCTAGACGCAGAAAAACTCTATTGCAATTCTGCCAGTTCACTAGAGCTGCTTCAGTCCAATACTGGTATAACCAAGCAGAGCATCCTACCTATTTAAACATCAACAGATTATGGTTGTTAAACTGTTCATGTGTGATCTACACAACTATCAATTTGAATCATCCTGTAACAATCTTCCAACATTTATCCATTCCTTAGAGCAAGTTAAGAAAGATAAAGCCTGCACCTCTGGTTAGTTTCCAGGTAGAGTCTCATCATACGAGCACACTGGAATTTTTTTTTCCTTCAAAACTTAATACACTTTATATGAAAACAAACCAACCAAACAAATGCAAACCTGTTGTGGAGAGTATACGAAGGAGTGCATCTTTCGAGCATGTCATCCAGCCCAAATACCCAGAGAAAAGTAACAGGAGCACAAAGTCAGGTACGCATGGCAATTGCTCATCCTACCCTTCCTCCGATCTCACTTGAAGGACCATGATATGCACTTAAGAGTTCTCAGAAGTTGCATTTGTTCCCTTTGGATTGACACAGCCTCTGAAGATACTACTTTTGTTTCTGCTTGTTGTCATTGTTGCCATAGGTGGAGCCCTTGTTAATTTCTGTAACGCCTATCATCCATCTGACACCAACAGAAGCTGCAATATAAATCAAAAATAAAGTTAAAAGCAGTTTGCAGACAGAAGCTGAAGGTCTGTACAGGCATAGCATTTTGAAAGACTGACAGCATGCTCAGCTGTGCAGTAGCACAGCATCCATAGTAACTACCCGTATTTGACCTCTGCGAAAAGCCATGCCCCCACGTCCCAGTTTCAGGCACTGCCCATGGCATTTCATTACGGAAGGTCCTGGGTCGCTGGCCTCAGGCCAGACCCGTCCCCCCCACCAGCCGGGAGGGTGCTAGATGAACCAATACGGGGTGAGAGGCACAGGCACGGCGTGCTCAGCCCTGTTAAACCTTAGACGAGGCTGGCTGTGAAAGGGGGGTGCTTTGGAGCCGCTGGTGCTACCCAGCTGCCAGGAGCTGAGTGACAAAATATATTCATGTATCCACATGCAATATGGGACGGGTGAAGGGAATTCTGCCTGCTTTCAACAGCCCCCGTGCCTGGAGGAGCACAATTATCAGATCTTGACAAACAAACAAAAAACAAAACAAGAGTCACTTGTGGCATTTTTTAACTACAGCTTATGAAACAGTTCATTACAAGAGCCCAGGTTCATTTAAAATACTTTTACAGGTGATTTAGTGGTAATAATTCACCATGCACAGGGATTTTTTTTTTTTTTAATAATTTGTTTTCAGTGCCTGAAGTGACTGTTTAAGTTAAACACAACTTAGCCTAAGCCCTCCCTCAGCTTTTTTTTTTTTTAAAAAAGGGGTTCAGCTGCCCAAAATCTACTATTCCCCAAACTTCTGCTCAGCTACTGTGTGAACTGCCACGCACCTTTCAGACCTAAACCTACTCTGGAGTCACAAACACCTTTCCTCTACCCAGAACGCTTTTTCCAAAAACCACCAAGAAAGCCACGAACCTCCCCTGAGCCTCCAAATCCCAATTTCTTCCTGACTGATGGTTCAAAGGCCCAGTCCTCTGAGATGCTCCAAGTGCCTCATTCCCATCAGTCTTCACCTCTCCAAGATGACCCTGATCAATTCCTCACCAGCCAAAGGACTCTTTATGGCCAAGTCAGAACCCGAGATCACCAGGAGAACCCAGAGGCTTCATACCACCGTTGGGCATCAACTGTGACGAGCAGGGCTGACGCAGCACCCTGCGTCCTGGCATTCGCTACTCTTTAGCGCAGGAACGGGAGGGGGCTGTCAGCTGGGAACCAGGGCTGCCCCGTGCTTTACCAGCTGCTGGCTTGTCCAGCTGTAACCTGCTTCTACAACATCAACCACGCAAAACCACCACTTTTTTAAACAGCTACCTCTCTCTTCTGCTTCAAGCAACCTGTTCTGAAGTGGAGCACAGACTACTGAACAAATGTTATAACAGCAAGGCACTTTGAAAAAGCTGAATGTATTATTTAAACAAGATAGGCTAGCAAGCAGCTCTGCAGAGAAGGACCTGGGCTTCCTGATAGCTGCCAGCAGCATGCCCTTGTGGGAAAGGAGGATGGAGCTGCCCAGGGCTGCACTAGGAAAAGTGTTTCCAGCAGGTCGAGGGAGATGATCCTTCCCCCTGCTCAGCACTGGCGAGGCACATCTAGAGTGCTGGGTCCAGTTTGGGGTCCCCAGTACAAGAGACACATGGACCTACTAGATCAAGGCCAGTGAAGGCCACTGAGATGATTAAGGGAGTGGAGGGAGCATCTTTCATACGAAGGAGAGGCTGAGAGAGCTGGGACTGTTCACAGCCTGGAGAAGAGAAGCTCGGTGCGATCTTATCAATGTGCACAAATATCTGCAGGGAGGGTGTAAAGCAGACAGAGCCAGGCTCTTCTTGGAGGTGCCCAGTGACAGGCCAGAATTCAATGGGCACAAACTGAAACATGTGAGGTTCCCTCTGAGCATAAGAAAAAAAGGAAGAAAAAAAATCCTCTTTACCGTGCAGGTGATTGAACACAGGCTGCCCAGGGAGGCTGTAGAGTCCCCATCCTTGCAGATATTCAAAACCCAGTGGGGAACAGCCCTGAGCAACCTGCTGTAGCTGACCCTGCTCCGAGCTGGGCATTTGCACTAGCTGGTCTCCAGAGGTGCCTTCCCACCTCAGCTATAGTTTTCTGTCTGATTTGCTTGGATGAAAGGCACTGTGTATTTTGTTCTTTCGAAACACCAGCACTTGAGAACAAGCCAATCAACTACAGACTTGCTTTCTGTAGTACAACAGTAAATTAAGCGAGTTTTTAGAAGTGCAAGTGGTAACTGGATACCAGAAATGAGTCACACATGACAGTGACACAGCGATGGCTGAACAGACAGTGGAGCAATGGGGAAGCTGGGCTGCTCACCAGTCTCCTGGATGCTGAGACACCAGGAAAGCAGGGCCCCCTCACAGGCACACTGCTGTGCAGTGAACAGCCCAGAAAGGGAAATGGCCTTAGGGAGTTCGCTGTCACTTACAATCCACTGTTAGGCCATGGATGGAAATGCACACAACTGGGACAAGTGAAGGGTTTCACTCTCACAAACAGAACAGAAAAAAACCCAAACCTCTGACATTTAAATGGCTATGAGCTAGGGAAGACAAGAGGAAGATCTAACATGCAGCCTGCAGTCTGGAATCACAACGTAACAGTAAGCATGAAATCATTAGGATTTTAACCAGAAGGGATAGAAACAGCATCTGGAGATGGACACAGAGCATAAATAAGACCAGCTGTTATAGCAACCACACAGTACACTGGGGATTTCATCCACTTCCAAGAATGCATTGCCTGGACACCAGAAAATACCTAGTTCAGCAGTTCAGATTTTTTTTTTTCCCCTCCCTTCTCCTTTGCTCCCTGGCAGAAGCTGCCACTGCCCTTCTGTCCTCATTTCACCCTGCAGCCCTCAGCACCCTGGGGAAGGTGGGGTGCAAGAAGAAGGGACTGCTCATGTTTGCTAAGCCTGTGGAAGCAAAGTGCAGATAAGTGCTGAGGTGCCTCGGTAGTTTCTCCCTGCACTGCCTGCCTGCTCTCCACAACTGTCCTGGAGCCTTAGTGCATATCCTAGTGATACCATCATGTTTAAGAATTTATTCCACTGTTGTTTTAAATATAACTATAGTAAGGGGAATTTAGGGTTTGCTTGGGGTTTTTTTGTTTTTGTTTGTTTTGTTTTGGTTTTGTGTTTTTTGTTTTTTTTTTTACTACAAGGAAGGGGAGAAAGGTAGATCAAGCAGGAATTGTGCCTAACTTCATGAACTGCGAGAGCTTAAGCCCACCTCCAGAAGAACAGGAGAGAGAAGCTATTGTCTGAGGCATTCCTTTTTTATTCCTGCACTGCTTCATGGCAAATTACTGAGCTCCTGACATCTTTCTGCCCATCCTTACCCAGCCAGAAGATGCAGGAGGTTGCTGAGGACCTGCTCTGCCTGCCAGAGTGCTGGGGGCTGAGGGACAGCTGAGCTAACACAAATCGACACAGCCAATAATGTTATCTCTTTCTTGGAACATTTTTTAGCTCCAAGAAAACCACCACCTCCACACATAGCACCACATCCCTCAACAAAACCTAGCTCAGAGCAGAGGATTTCCACCTTTTCTCTTCACGTCGGGATTTATTCTCATCTGTTACCTGGGGTTTGTACCACGCAGCAAGTGCTATCAACATGTAGGGGCATAGAAAACTCCCATATATAGTCTGCTGTATACCTGAGTTATATAGGTTGTATATTGAAATGAAGATTTGTACAACTAAACCTTAAACAAATGGTAGAAATCACCAGAGGGCCTATCTTACATACTATAAAGGAGAAGAAACAAGCAAGTAAAAAACCAAAACCAAACAAAAAACAGTTTTAGGCACCAGGCTGAAAGGCTAGATTAGACAGATGAAAGGGAGCTGCACCAACACAGAATCAACACAAGCAGAACCCTGCACACAGTTTATACCCTGTTGTAAAACTTACTGTAACACTGCTGGCTCATGCACTCTTCACCTTCCACCAATCTCAGCCTACAGGCATCAACAGCACTGCTACCCAGATCACATCATGCTCCAACACTTCGGTCCACATTCTGCACTTGGACACTGTCAAGTCACCGAGGTCTCTCTCACAGTTTGTACTGTGAAAGAGGTTTTCCAATAGTACCATGCACTTACTGTATAGAAGACCTTACAACAGCTCCTGCAGAATCAAAGCTGGCTCATGCTTGGTTCAAATGAAATACCTCTCTTGCCTGTAACTGATACCTAACTGCCGGCCCCCTGCCATAAGCCCAGATGCCATTATGCTTTTAGCACTAGACATGTAAGAGCTACTTCTTCATTTAAAAGCCAAGAGAAGACTTATCATCTTTTGCATACAGAATCAACAATCCCCTTTTAACTGCTGTTGACAGTTGTATAATGAAATACTTGTAGAGCATGAAGGTTGTCCTCTTCAACACAAGTTACCAAAACATGAAAGGCAACCTAACACTGGGTTTTTTGGAGCCAAATGAGATTGGGGAAGCAGAAGGAGGAAAAAAAGGAGCTGCTGTAAAATACAAATACTGACATTTGACAGACTTGCTCACTGCTTTAACACCAAAATATCAGCCTGAAGTTTTAAATAGCAGTTGTGAGTTAAGTGCGTCAATCTCTTGATATCTGTCCTATGAAACTAAAGCAAGTTTTCAAAGAGGACTTTTGTCCCCTCAAACTGCTTGAGCAGTTACCCTCTGGAGCGAGGACTGCCTTGTGTGGGTTCAAGTAGTATCACAAAGGGCTCCTGGTCCCAGACCGGTAGTCAGTTTCTTACGATGAGTATAAATAGCCAAAGAGCAAAGCAAGAGGGGATGGCTCAGCATTTTCAGTATGGAGACATCACTGATTTAGGGCTGAAAGTATTTGAGCTGAACCAGCAGAGCTATATATACATCAGTTATCCATTCCTTGGATCCAAGAGTTAGGGTCTAGGGGATTACAGTGCTTTCACTCCAGCCTGACCGTCACGGGGCATCTCTCTTACGGCTCTTTCCACTTGAACAGCCAGTTACTTACAAGCCACTAAAGTGTTTCACCGGAGAACACAATTAGCAGAGACTGTCTACAAAGACAAACGACACTCTGAAAACAAAGCAGAGGGTACCAGGTAAAAGGACCCCCTAGTTCCTCGGCTCTTTCCTGTCACAGGTTCAGGAATATCTTGTGCTATCTGCACCTCTGCTAATAAAAGTAATGTTATCGGGTACTGAAATCTGCCCTCGGAAACAGCAATCTATTTATAATGGGCTATTAGGGACTGCAATAAGCTTCCTGATTCCGGAGTATCAGGTGAGCTGTCAAATTGCCATATAAAAAATAATGTCCCAAAGCTGCCTATGCTGCCTCAGTCAACAGACAGGGAAAAAGGTCTACTAGGAGCAATGTGAAAAGGCGATTTTACCCTCTGATCACAACGGTAAACAAATGCCTCTGATTTACAGAAAAGGCTTCCTTTTACATTGTCAAGCCAGCAGGTTCCAATCACTGCTCACACTGGAAAAGACAGCATATACAGCCCTCCCTGCTTTGCTACAAACCGGATCCGCCAGGCAGACAGTTCCAGGTGACACCAAGAGTCACAACCTCCAAGGTACATTTGTGTTCCTCTACTGCTACCTCCCAGCCATTGTTGAAGTCACTTCTGAGACCTTGCCTAAAGCTGGAGATGAACTGCAAAATAAACTACTGGTTGTTCTCTGTCAGAAGACAGCTGCATCACTCCCAGGACGTTCACGACAGCGATACCCCTTAGAATGTAACACACAGTTTGGGGAGAAAGCCTTGCTACAGAAACTCAGCTATTGGCTACAAAAGTCAATGTGACAGCTTGGGCTGCAGTTTTTACATGCTTTCACAGAAACAGACCAATGATTCCCAACTAGCAACAACATTGCTTTTAAAGCAATATAGTAAAACAGACTACAACACACTAAGGGAACTGTTGCTCTTTTGGCAAGTAATGACACATCTACTTTTAAGTGACCAGGATAAAGGAGCTCTGCTTTTTGTTTGTTTTTACTGAAGGCTGAGCTTCCTGCCAGTCCCACGGATTCTCTTCCCTCCACAGCCTCACGGAGACTGCCACCTGCTAAAAAGTGACAATGCTATCTTTCTTTTTGCCTGCTCATCAGCCAGAGGTGGCTGGCTGAGTCTAATCAGGCGACAGCATCCTCTGTCATGCTGCAAATCCTGGCCAATTACAAGCACTTTGGGTCTGATCACACCAAGCATTCAGAGAACAGAGCTGTTGCTAAGCACAGGGGTTTTTCAAAGGTTGCAGAGGACCTGCAACCTGCAGCATCCCACAAACATGGCGGACACATACAGGGCAGCAATGCACATCACAGTGGGACGTTAATCTCACCAATCTTAATGTGTTCCTCAGCTGTGCTTTTGCAGCCTGGGAGTTCACACATTCATCCTGGCAGCAGATTGCTGCTGTAGCTTTCTGTTAGCTCCAGCATTACAAATAACCTGAGAACCTTTGGATTATCACTGCATTCAAAAGAGGACTCACAGCAGCCTGCTTATTAATCTTTCCTTGTGGCTAGAAGCAGAAGAAAGCCAAGTGGGGAGTAAGACAGCAAGAAAAAAAAGAAAAAAAAGAAGGGCGCTTTGCTGTCAACTCATAGCAGCACCATAGCTTTTTTTTCTTCTTTCTTTCCCTCCCTTCCTGATAGAGAGAAGACGTGACTCAGTTGTAAAGGCCACTAATTGCAAGATGGTATTGGACTTACGGTGGGGAGTGTGGTGTTACTCAACTAAATTAACAAGGGCTAAATCCAGAAACATCACAGATACCACAATGCCAAGCATTAAAGCATCTCGCCCTGAGGTTAAAATCCAGAACCCCGAATTATGCAGTGAGGCTCCCTACAGAGGGTACACAAGGCATGAGGCACTTTGGAATGGCACCCAAACAACCAGCCCACAGAGTGGAGGAGCTGAATTAAGAGGAAAATGCTGAAAGAAAGATGAAAAACTAAAAAAATTTTCAATGGCTGAGCTTCAGCACCCCATTAGGCCATCGTTTCACAGCTCAGCACCAAACAGACTATGACAGCATTTCTTCCATAGACAGAACAAATGCCCTCTTCAGTGCTGTTGCCAGGGTCGTAGCACTTTTAACTCTGTCATACCTCATCCCACCCACTGTTGTATACCCACTTTGCACAGGGGAGACAGACTGACCTTTCTCTGCAACTGCAGGGGATTTGAACCCAACACCTCCCATTCCTGAGGAGCACGCCCCAGCCATGGTGCTCACTCTTCACTCCCACCCTCTTCACTGGCCAGAGAAGGGGCGGGGTGGTGAGCACTACTCATGCCTTCCAACAAGTAAGGTGGGTGAAAAAAGGTGCTTCTAAGTTGTAGTCACTGCTCCGAGAAATTCTTACACATTTTACATAAAACATTCCCAGGGTAAAAAGCACCAACAATTTCTCCAGGTGATGACAAAAGCACAGGATTCCCCTCCCTTTCCCTCTACCTTGCCCACAGTAATGCACCAGCTATTATGTTGGATCTTATCCTTGCTCTTGTTTTGCCTACTCTGGCCCAAAGCATCACAAAGCAAATTTCCTGCATGTGTGCACATACAAATTCTTCCTTCCCAGACTATCTTTCTAAAAAGCTTCCACAGTAGCTCATGCGGAGTTCGATTTGCTGGGGCTTTCTGAAATAGAATATTATGTACCTACCATATCAAGCTCTTCACAGATGGGTACAAGGACATTAGTTAATTCTTCTTGACCAGACTAGCATGGGACCCGCTCAAGATTCAGACTTTTTGAGAATACAAAGAAATACTATATGTTAAGAACAATTTCCCAGACAGAGAGCAAAGATGCACTTCTGAGACAAGAAAATGCTCCGTGTTTTCCTATTTCCTCTGTATTGCTATTTTGGATGTGGCTTTTTAAGCTAACTAATATCTCTGCATCCAAGTTTGCTCAAAGCCAAAGCCAGAAGGACTGTGAAGTTCTGCTTCTTTTTCAAAGGATGTTTGTAATATACACAGGTGATGAAGCCATAAACACATGTGATGGTCAGTGCAGCCATAGAAAATATTTGCTTCATAAATGTATGACTTATTCTGGAAGGGAACTTATTTTTCAAACAGGCACTCAGTATGTCATAAAGCACAGGCACCCAGATATGATTTTATTTACCTGGTTCCCGCTTCCATGAAGGACACCAAATGAGATCTCCCCCCCTTTCTGTGGGCCAGCTCCTTGTTTTGTTTTCCTTCTTCCTCTTAAACAACACACTAGTTTAAACACAAAGCAAGGCAGTTCAGAACTACCCAGGAACTGTAGGAATCACCTGTGATAATCTATGCCCTGTGCTACCTAAGTCAGACTAGACAGCCACAACACGCTGTCCTTAAATAACAAGATCATGGATTTCCAGTGGATAGCGTACAGACTATGATGAGACAAAAGAATTCTCAACAGAATAAATTAGCCTTGAGCACCTCTTCTCGGTGTTCAATGTGCAACCCAGCAACACACTACACAAGAAAAGAAAGCTTCTTGTAAGCAACCCAATGGAAAGTTACTGTTTCCATTTCCACAGAAACAGAAAATTTTGTATGCAGCTCTTACAAAATATAATACAACTACACAAAAATAAACAATAAAAAAAGAAACTCTCTACTTAACCTATTTCAGGCTAAAGTGGCTACAGTATCAGATAGTCTGTTAATTTCACAAGTCATATTCATATTTAGTAAGCCTCAATAAATCATGTCTGACAGCTACCCTGTAAGTAATCTTTCTGGTTTAGAAAACTCACCCATTACAATGACAAATGCAAAACTAGCCAGTGTCAGTGATGATCCACTGTTGATCATGTTGATGAGCAGCTTGAATAAAGGATATAGCAGCAATAAGGCCCAGAAAAGCCAGTTCAAAAGTGTCCATGGTCGTCGTGGTGGTACTATAGGGACTGCTGGGTAGGTTCCTGTCCGGTAGTACTCTTCCTGGAACGCATCCTAGTAGAGCAAAGGAGGGCAACAATTAAATCCCCATCTGCCAACAAAACTAGCCATTCGTGACTTTGATGTTCCTCTTGCAGCACGCTTGTAATCTCCGGGGAAGATCACGGCTGGAAAGCTGGTACTTTGAAGTCAATGAACATACGGTCAAAAAAAAACAAAACAAAACAAAAAAACCCCAAGAGCTTACATTGATGTGTACATCCTTTCTTTCTCCTGCACATAGAAGCCTGAAAAACTGCATGCTTAGACAGTGTAACAAGCCTAGTAAAACAAGAAGGGTGAGGGGATGTACATTCCTGCAGCAATGTAGACATCACTGTTGAACCTCTGCAAGGGCTACAGCCACTGAACAAACACTTCTGGTAAGCCAGAAAAGTGTTTGGGCTGCATGTTCAGCAGCAGCTCTCTGTTCCCTAATGTTTTCTCCAACCACTGCTCTAAAACAGCATCCACAGCCCTGTCAGAAAAGGTGAGCAGACACCATCTTGTCCCATATGCCAAAAACCACCACGTCCTGTCTGCTTTGCCCCATAGATGCAGTCCTGTTCATCCTGTTCCCATAAGGCTTACAGAGGGACGTTTGGGTACCAAACCTGCAGAGTTGAGCGTGCAAACAGTTTAGAAACTCTCACTGGTTTTGACCAAAGGACTCTCCCTTTCAGTATAATATGAGGAAGATACTGCGGTGGGGTTTGTTTGGTTTTTTTTTTGTGGTGTGTGTTTTTCAAAGCACAGAAGACTTAGAATTCAGTACCTTCCTCTAGAGCCTATACGGGTGAACGGCATTGGCTTTAGCGATGTGATCAACCTGAGATATCAAAGTGGGTGGGGAAAAAAACCCTTCCTTCTGGTTCAAAAGCAAAGATCATTAATCTGTGTTATCACATAAATCTGGTTAATTAGTGAAGTCAGCATTAAACTGACATAAAAAGGAACCTCAATTGAGTCAGAATGAAGTACTAAATTTCTTCAAAGAAAGGAATGCTTCATGACGGTTTCAAAAAAATTCTTGCAAAGCCAAGATTGTCCTAATCAACCACAAGAAGATTATTTCTGCTATGCTACGACTTCACGTTTACTTGCACTCCAGCTGACACACAATTCTTTAATTATTTAATGGTAACTTGAGCAATTACAGGCTGCTACCCTTTTTATCTATTTCAAAGGGAACATTTAGCTTTTAAGAGATTACACAGTAATTAAAGCATTGCGCTTTCTTTACTGAGATTAGAAAAATTATAACTGTTTTGCGCATGCGAGCTAGCTTGTACTGGGATCATTATGGCCAATTAATTAGCTGTCTTCAACAAATTACACAGTATATGAAGTTTTCTTTACAGTGCCTTGAGGATTTTGGTTTATGAGTGGTTTAACACAGAGCTACTAATTATCAGTAAATTGAATTCTACTACATACAATTAGGTTTCTAAATACCAGTATTACTCAGAACAGTTAAGAAATTCTGGCTATTATGGGTATCGCCATTAGGGGGCCTATTACTACAGACAGCAAGACAGACACTTAAAACAAGGGCAGCCGTTTTCTCTTTGTTGACTCTGCATAGCGTTAGTGGCAGCAACACCGTTGACCACTTCTCACCAAGAGGTTTGAGACAGATGGAAGAAATATAGCAGGGGCAAAACAATGTTAATGCCATCCCTCCACTACACATTTTACACTGTTGTGGGGAACAGCTCTTCAATTCAGTTACAATTCCTTACCCTTAAAACATTCACATTCCTTGCAGAAGAGATCTGTGGGTTGATCTCTCTTCTAAGCTATCGCAAGGGTGCCTACGACACCCATCAACAGCTCAAGTCAGCATTTAAACCCATGCTGCTCCCCAAAATTTCCCTCAATCACCTCCCCCAAATTAAGTTCCTTTCATTCCCCTGCAAACAGAGCTTGTTTTCAGTTTGTAATAAATCCTACCCACCCAAGTACCATATCTGGACATAGAAACATGCTCCCTCTAATGCCCCACCAAATCTGAGTTACTTCAGACAGTGGAGTGGGTAATGCAGTAGGGGGAAGTCAGGGAACATCCATCATCTTGTGAGAGGCTAACTGGATTCCTCCTCCGTGCTCCCACCAGGGAGGTCTGACTGCAGAGGTGTGCCACTGGCCTTTCATGAGGAAGCCCAAAAAGAACCAGTATCCAAAAACATATTCTTTGTTCCCAGACACTGGAGTCTGTACACGTTCCCTCTTCAGTTACACTTTGCTAATTCCCTGGGGCATTTCAGCACATATTTTCATGCCCTGTTTTCCATGCTTCTCTTACAAGTGAGAAGAGTTAGAAGCTCCCTTTCTTTTTAATGGAAATTAAGGTTCTCAAGCAGAACTTCTATTTCAGGCACTAAGGCTGTAAGGAGGGGAAAAAAGAAAACAAACGTGCAACAGCTAGCAGAGTTGTGACTATTATACAGTACCTCTTCAGACCAAGCACTAAGATGCTCGACTTGGTCTTTGTTAAAGTCAAAGGGAGTCTTTCCAGCAACTGCAGTTTAAAAAAGAAAACTAAAAAAACCCCAAAACACAAACAAACAAACAAAAAAGAGAAGGCAATGCGCAACCCAAACTGCACCTCTGTCCTAATCTGGCATTAACTGATACAGTGCTGGCCATCTATGGAAGGACAAAATTCACCCCAGGTGAGTAAGAAGCACATGGACATAGTGCTTACTGTAAGCCTGGAAAAGTAAGGAGAATAGTGTTTGGTTCAGAACAGCACAGTGCCATTGTTTATCTGGTAAGGCCCTGTTCATTGCATTTGCAGGAGTGACTAAACCAGCAAATGAAGTGATAAGTAGCAAGAACATAAACACATCGGATTGCCAGAGAGCAGTATCTCAGACTGAGGTACATGTAACTGAGACCAGAAAATGAGGTAAAAAAAACAGGACAAGCTTTTCTCAAAGACTCTCACTCCTTTACTAACAATTAAAAAAAAAAAAAACCCACACAAAACCAAGTCATGTCGCTTCATGTCCACTAACCACCGATTTCATGACTCAAACAGCTTTGTGTCCCTGATCATCATGAGCGCATGGCACTCCAGCCTTGACCTCAGTATCTGTGGCACACCCCACCTACTAAATCATGCTACTAGAGCATAATTCAGCACACAGTACCTAAGTCTTGAGACAGTACTGCAAAATTACAAAAATCACTGAGAATAAGCAATGGCACATGCAACCATAATGCAAGATAAAACAGGGGCTCTGTTTTTCAGTAGCATGCATACCTTGTCTTTTAAACAGCAAGAATTTTGCTGCCCTGGAGAGAGGAAACCAGAGCATAGCTCTATATGCTATCACTTCTAAATCCGAAGCACTGCAGTATTCCAGTCTGAATACTTAGATCAATTTATTGCAGCAAACCGAGCTGTTAGGCCCTCATGCTTTGCATACCTATGACTCCCACTGGTTGAAATTGGAGTGCTGTGTGTATTCAAAGAGCACATCCCCCAACCATTATCTCCTATGTTCATAAAAACAAACCCCATAAGAAACAGATTCTGAAAGTCTGAAGTATGCACATGAGAGTATTTGAGGGGGTGGGGTGGGATCAGCAGGCAGGCATTTACAAACACACAGTCATCATTATTCTGTCCCCATCCTAAGCAATTAGTAATCTTAAATACGTGTCTTCTATGCATACAATGTGAAAGCAATTTATCAGCCTGTCCTGTTAATGTTGGACCTTTGCCTTGGTAGAAGACAGGGTAAAACAAGGAACAAAAATTTTAATACACTAAAGCAAAATATTTTAGCTCACGAATTACTTCTTGATTCAGGACGTGCCCTTAAGTAGGTCCTACCAACCAGGAGGCAGTTGTGGTTTTTGTATCCTTATGCAACTTTCTAAAAGAAGAGTTATAAAACTACTGTATCGAGGCTTACTTAAATTTTCTTCCTGTTGCTCTTTAAGCACAAAATTAAGGCAATCATGACTGACAGCACAAGACTAGTTTATGCCTGGAGAAACAGAGCACTTATCCTGAAAAACAAACCAAGCAACCCCAAACCTCCAAAGTAGGACCACTACATATGCACACTGTAAATGTCTACTAGCAGTATAAATAACTGAGCACTAGTGGGTCACAAGTGCTGTCTGGACAAAAAAACCAACCTTTTCTTGATACAGTCTGTGGAGCCAGCTAGAACATTCCTGTTCATCTTTCGGGACTTCCTCTAGTGGAATCCGCCTGCCAATGGTAAATGAGAGAAATTGAAGAACATTAAATACTTCGGCTGCCACAAACACTTACATTATAGACAGATTATCCATCTGACAGGAGACTCACTACATTTTCCACCTTTTTTAATTTATGATAACAGCTCCCAGATTAGCAATGTATAGTTTGCTTCTACAGCCATTTGCAGTTTTTAGATGTATCTGAAATTCAGAAATTTCGATTTCTGAAATAGTAATGCATTAAGTTTGAGCTCACTAGAGCCACTTTCTAGATTAAGGTTTGCAAATTTCTGTTTCTGAACAAAGATTTTGAATTCATTTCTTACCCCATCTATGGAGCACAAGGCTGTATTTATTTAATCAGGTAGCCGTTAGAGAGAAAAAACAAACTATTCTCCTTATATCTAAAGCACTCCAGTTTCTCAGGTAACATTTCCAATTCCTGTAATTTTTGCTACGTACAGCTTGGTTGGATAATTTCCAGCAAAATGGCTCCTATCACTGAAAATCCCTTTCTTGACAAAACAAAGCTTTCATTAAGTTACACGACTTTGTGTCAATAATCCTGACAGAAAAAAATCCCCTTGTCATTTTCATTTAGGTATGCTAATAACAGTATTTAATGATTTTAGATTTTTCACTCTAGCATATATTTTAATTAATATCCATTGAGAGCAACATCAAATTAACATCCTTCAGCATAGGACAGAGCACTTTTCACAGTCAGGACACTCCTGTTTGCAGTTAATAAATTCAGAGCTGCAACACTCTTTTGTTTCTGTATTTAAGAAAGTCAGAAGATGACAAACATTACAAGTCAACACAATCTAAGCAGAGACAAATAAGGCCAACCAAATTTTACAAAATTCTACTGAGTGCAACACCTACAGCATTTCATTAAGCAGATATGGAGGATTTTGAAGAACATCTGTGAAGGTCCTCAATTCACGGCCAAAACAAATTTTGCCATGTGTTTTACACTGGCTACAAGAACTTTTCAGGAAGCTCAAAAGCACAGAAGGGTAAATAGCTCGCCCGAGTCATGAAAACCAATTTCCATGCTCTGCCAGATTGACTTGCAGCAGGCTGGAAGGGTGTAATGGGAGACATGGCAAGATGCATCTCTCAACGCTGTTGGAGGAATGGCCCACATAGTTAGGGGCAGCTGCTCCTCCACGAACACTAGCCAGCCAGGCCACCTACACCAAACACAAGGCCACCAGGTTGAGCTACCCATG